CCAAGCCCAAGCCCAAACCAAGGGTGCCCTGCCCTCACACTACCACGAGAGCTTTCTGGAGAAGAAGGGACCTCGAGACCAGGTAAGGAGGGGAAGGGAGCCTGGCACTGCTGGGTTGCCCAGGCAGGTGTGGCACCTCTCTGAGCCTTGATTTCCCTACCCAGCGAAGGGGGGTGGGGTGGGTAGGGCAGGGCATTTCTCTCTGTGTCTCTCCCTGCCTGTCTCCATCTGTCTCTCTTTTTCTCTCTCTTCTTCTGTCTCGGTCTTTCTCGGACCCGAGGTGGGCTCAGAGCCGAGGCCATGGTGGCCCGGGTCCTCGCCTGGCTTCTGCCTCCAGTGAGAGCCCCAGCTGGGCCAGGAAGCAGAGAAACAGGTTCCAGGGGAATTTCCTCTCTTCTGTCAGCTGCTGAGCTCCCTCCTCTGCAAGCGCTGGGCGGGGACTGGGCTGGGCAGGTCCAGGGATCCTCGAGAAATCCTGGCCTCTCTGGTCTCCCCAGGAGGATCGGGAAGCCTAGCTGGACTCATGGAAGGGAGGAGGGAGCCACTGGGAGGCATTGGGTGCAGAGCAGAGACCGGCAGACGGTGCACCAGGAGGAGGGACCTGACAAAGCTAAGGCGTGGAAACGAGGCAGGGAAGAATGTGGTGCCAGGGTGGCAAGGGGATGTGACAAGAGAGGACACAAGAGGAACACCATTCGAAGGCCATATATGACCCTCGGACCGCCTGGACGTTAGAATAATCTCGCTTATATCTACCAAAAAAATCTTTCTGGGATTTTAATAGCAATTGTGCTAAACCGGTATATGAATTGGGGGAGGCTGGACATCGTTACTACGCCAAGTCCTATCCATGGACATGGTCTGCCTCTTCGTTTATTTAAACCCCATTTCTTTCATCAGCGTTATGTACTTTTCAGCATGCAACTCCTGTACCTGTTTTGTCAGATTTACATCTAAGCCTGTTTTTTTTTTTTTTAGCATTTTTAATTTAATTTAATTTAATGTATTTTTCATTCTGGTTTTCACACACTCCTCGCTAGTACATGGACACGCAATTGATTTTGGCGTGCTCATCTTCCATGCTACAACCTGGCTGAACTGACTCATTAATTAGTTCTGGGGGAGTTTTTTGGAGATATCTTGAGATTCTTCTATATAAACTGTCGTGTCATCTGCAAAGAGGGCTGGTTTTATTTCTTCCTTTCCAATCTGTCCGCCTTTTATCTCATTTTCTTGCCTTGTTGAGCTGGCTAGAGCTTCCAGCACTGGGCTGAACAAGAGTGGTGAGAGCATAGCTTCCCTCTGTTCCTCGTTTGTGGAGAGACTTTATCATGAGTGGGTGTGGAATTCTGTCAAATGCTTTTTCTGCATCCATGATACGATCGTGTGACCTTTTTTCTCTAGCTCGTGTGCTAGTTTTCCACGGCTGCCGTAACAAATCGTCACAAATTTAGAGGCGTAAAACAATGCAAATGTAGGATCTTACAGCTCTGCAGGTTAGAAGTCCTACATGGATCTCACGAAGCTAAAATCAAGGTGTTTGCAAGGCTGCGTTCCTTTCTAGATGCTCAGAGGATGAATCTCTTCCCTACACTTTTCCAGCTTCTAGAAGCTTCCTGCATTCCTTGGCTCACATCCCCTTTCTCCGTCTACAAAGCCAGCCGCAGCGGGGTGGGCTCCTCCCAGCATGTCACTCTGAATGAACTTCTGGCTTCCACTCTTAAGGACCCTTGTGATTACATTAGGACCGCCAGGATAATTCAGGATAATCTCTTTATTTTTTGAAGTCAGTTGATTAGCAATTTTAATTCTGTCTGCAACCTCCAGTCCCCTTTGCCACATAAACCTAACATATTCACGGGTCCTGAGGGTTAGGACCTGGACATCCTTCGGGGACCATCATTCTGCCTACCACAGCCTGTTAAATATGAGCGGATGACACTGATTGCTTTTGGAATACCGAACCAGCCTTGCATTCCCGGAATAACCCCCCCTTGGTCACGGTGTATAATTCTTTTTCTATACTGCCGAATCCTATTTCCTAATATTTTGTTAAGGATTTTCACGTCTTTATTCACGAGAGACGGTCTGTAGTTCCCTTTCTGTGCACTGTCCTTATCTGGTTTTGCTATCAGGGTAATGCTAGCTTCATCAAATGAATTGGAAAGCGTTCCCTCCTCTTCACGTCTCCGGGAGAGATTATGTAAAAGTGACGTTCATTCTTCTTTGAATCTCCATCCGGGCCTAGAGATTTCTTTTCCCAGAGTTTTGAAGTGACAAATTCAATTTCCTTAATAGTTAGAGGGTTAAGTGGACTTTAAACGCACAGCAAAGAACAGCCTTTGGAATCCACTCCAGAGTTGTGTGACCCCGGGCCATCCTTTATCTGCTGAACTATCTGATAAAGTTGATAACAGCATCTGCCATATAGGGGTGCTGTAAATGGTAAATGGTTAATAAAGTCACAGAGGTTAGTTTTAATTTATCCAAGGCAACGGGGAGCCATAGAAGGATTTAGAGCAGAGGTGGGAGGTCGTAATAGTGGCAGTTTAGCAAGATCCTTCCGGGGCCAGGGTGGAAGATGGATGGGGTCGAGGGTGAGTATAGAGGCCTGAGGCCCAAGGAGGAGATGGCCAGGGTGCAGATGGGAGAGGCTGGCGGTCCAGCCCAGGATTTTGGAAGAGAGTCGAAGAGAAAGTGAGCTAGAGCGTGGGGCAATAAACAGAGGCCAAATTTGAGTCTGGGGAGCTGGGGTATCCTCAGTTGCTGGCTGGACCCACAGTGGGGATGGTGGGGGGCACTGCAAAAGGAGGGCTGGGCAGGACAAAAAGAGAATAATAGTAATTCACATTTATCCAGCTCTTACTCTATGTCAAGCCGTTTCGTAACAACTCCTAGGCAGGAATTATAATCCTCACGGGAAACAGAGAGGGGGAGCCACTTGGCCAAAGTCACAGAGCTGGGAAGCGCTGGAGCAGGACCGGAGCCAGGTCCAGTCTGATCCGGAACACCCTGGCTGCACGCTCCCGCCCCCGCCCCCTTCCACACTGGGGGCCGGGTAAACCCCTCCAGTGGCGCCCAGCCGCCTGGGGGAGCCCCCACCCGGGGCTTCCAGCCCTGCAGGGGGCTGGGGGTTCCCGGCGCTGCGCCTCCGGGTCAAGGTCCCGGGACAGAGGCCGGGGACAAAGGACGGGGACGCCGCCAGCCCGCGCGCATCCCGCCAGGCCCCGCCCACAAAGCCAGCGCGCGCGGGGGCGGGCCTGCGGGGAAGGTTTGGACCCGAGAGCCGATTGGCTGGCTGAGGACCAGACTCTGCAACTGATTGGATGCGTGAGGTTCAGGGGCCCCTGCTGATTGGCTCCTATAGGGGGACGGGTCCAGTTTCCCCGGAAGTAGCATTTTAACGATGATTGGCTGGAGGGATTCCGGCGGCTGCTGCCTATTGGCTGGAGGTGAAACAGCCCTGGTATAATTGGTTGGCAGGCTCCGCTCTGCGCCAATCCTGGAATCGGCCGAGAGGGTGGAATTTAACCCTTTAGAGACCGCGCCCGGCTCGGGCGCTTTAGACCCGCGGTCGGGGCTGCTTCCCCATCCGGGTCCCCGGGCGCTGTGGCTCGTTCTCCCAGGCCTCAGTTTCTCCGCTGGTCCCAAAGGCCGAGGCCTCTGGGTCCCTCAAGATCGGTGGCCGCGGACCTCAGTGTCCCCGCCTGCCCAAGCCCCCGGCGCCCCCAGCCCCAGTGGTGGTGGTCTCGGGTGGGGCCACGAGTCCCCCGAAAGCACAAGTCCCGGGCCTCAGTTTCCCCACTTGTGCCCATGCGCTCTCGGTTCCCACCCGCCTCCCCTGGAGGGTGGCCCCAGGCCTCAGTTTCCCGAACGGTCGCGGAGGGCTGAGTGCCCCGACTCCCAGCCCCGAGTGCGCAGGCCCGGAGCCTCAGTTTCCCCGCCCGCCCCAGCGGGCCGAGCCCCCCGCCCGCCCCCCGGCGGCGGCCAATGGCCGGGGCGGCCCGGTCGGGGCGAGCCGCGTCACGTGCCGGGAAGCGGGAGGCGGCGCGCTCGGGCGCACGGGGCGGCGCGGCCATGGCAGGTACCGGGGCGCCGGGGCCGGGCGGGGGCGGGGGGCGGTGGCGCGCGGCCCCCCCTGCAGCCTGTCGCTGCCCGCAGCTCCGGAGCCGCTGTCCCCGGCGGGCGGCGCGGGCGAGGAGGCGCCGGAGGAGGACGAGGACGAGGCGGAGGCCGAGGACCCCGAGCGGCCGGCGGGAGCGGGCGGCGCGCGCGGCGGGGGCGGCGGCGGGGCCGGGCCGGCGGGCGGCGGCGGCGGCCCGGGGGGCGCGCTCACCAGGCGCGCGGTGACGCTGCGGGTGCTCCTCAAGGACGCGCTGCTGGAGCCCGGCGCCGGGGTGCTGTCCATCTACTACCTGGTGAGCGCCCCCCGCCCCGCAGCCGGGGCGCGAAGGGGAAACTGAGGCCCGGAGCTCCCGGGCTGCAGGCCGGGCCCGGGTGTGGGGAGGGGAAACTGAGGCCCGGAGCATCCAGACTCAGCACGAGTTCTTCTGGGCGGGAGGACGTCGTCGTTCACCAAACTCCCCATTCCACAAAGGAGAAACTGAGGCTCGGGGAGGACACCCCGGCTCCCTTGGCCGTGTGACCTCGCTCCCCATCTCGGGACCCTGGTGTCCTCATCTGTGGAATGGGATTTTCCCCTCCCGTGGGGCCGTGTGGGGATTAAATGAATAAAGCGCTCCGCAGGGGGCCTGGCATACAGTAAGTGCTTTATAAGTGCTCGCTATTATTACTGTTATTGGTACTTTGCTATTGTTTGATGTGTGAATGGGAGCAATTTGTGACTTGAGCACCCGCCGCATGCCACACTGTGTGTTGGGTGTCACAGACACAGCAGTGATCAAGACAGACGCTGTCCCCGCCCTTTGGGGTCTCCCGGTCCAGAGAGGGGAGAGGGGGACAGACACGTGACTGGGCAGTTTCGATCCAGGCTGATCAGGATGGTGAGGGTGGACATCTGTGAACTGGGAGGCACCCAAGCTGGAGGCTTCTGGGAAGGGATGCTGTAGTGGGAAGTGGGTGCCAAGCCCTGGGGAGCAGCGTGGGGTCAGGGAGGGCTTCCTGGAGGAGGGGCCTTGCTGGGTAGCAGGTCCTGCGTGCTGTCGCGGCAGGGGAAGAAGTTCCTGGGGGACCTGCAGCCGGACGGGAGGATCGTGTGGCAGGAGACGGGGCAGGTGTTCAACTCACCCAGCGCCTGGGCCACCCACTGCAAGAAGCTGGTGAACCCGGCCAAGAAGTCCGGCTGCGGCTGGGCCTCCGTCAAGTACAAAGGCCAGAAGCTGGACAAGTACAAGGCTGCCTGGCTCCGGCGACACCAGCTCCACGTGCCCACAGCCACTGCCGATGAGGTGTGTCCTTAGTTCCCAGAGAGGGGGGATGTTGGAGCTGGGGCTTTGAAGGATGAGTAGGAGTTTTCAGAGCAAGATGAAGGGAGGAGCTTTCCAGAGGGAGGGAATGGCATAGCAAAGCCATGTTGGCAGGAAGCAACACATGCTGCTTAGGGAACCATGATTAGGGGATGCGGCAGGAGGTTCACGTGTCTTGGGTAGCTGAGGGGGCTGGAGATCTGTGAGGGTCTCGAGTGCCATGACAAGAATAGATCTTCTGTGAAGATTCAGCAGCTGGTGAACTTCCAGCTGGCAACTCTGACGTCTATAGGGCTGCTGGCGGGCTGGAAACTCAGGCGGGAGTTGATGCTGCTGTCTTGAGGCCGAATTCCTCGTTTTCCGGGAAACGACATTTTTCGTTCTTGAAGCCCTTCAACTGATTAGATGAGGCCCACCCCCATTATCCAGAGTAATCTTTATTGGAAGTCAGTTGATTGTGGATGTGAGCACGTCTACCGGGTACCTTCACAGCGACACCGAGAGCAGCGTTTGATTCCATAACTGGGCACTGTGGCCTAGCTGACATATAAATCTGCCCTTGACCCCACGTCCTAGGGCCGGCCGTTCAGCAAGGAGTTAGTAAGTGCCTACTGTGTGCCAGGCCCTGTTCTCGGCGCTGGAGAGAAAGCAGAGAGCAAAAGAGGAAAGTCCCTGCCCTGGTGGAGAGAGAGACAAAGAAACAAAATAAATGAGTCCATCTTAGCGTGTGTTGGAAGAAGTGAGCAGAGGGGAGCCCGCAGGATGGGAAGGGGGCTAGGAGGATGGGAAGGGGGCTAGGGCGGTCAGGGAAGGGCTCACTGAGAAGGTGACATTTGAGCGGAGAACTGAAGGCGGGGAGGGAGGGAGCTGGGAGGATATCTGGGAAACAGTTGTGCAAAGGCCCTGGGGCAGGAATGGGACTGGTGATTGGAGGAACAGCGAGGGGGCCCATTTGGATGGAACAGAGGGAGGAGGGGGAGAGAGGGAGGAGGGAGGGCAGGGAGGGGACGAGGTAGGTCGTGCGGGGACTGGGGGGCCGCGAGGAGGACTGGCTTCTCTCCCGAGGGAGGGGGGAGCCTGGAGGGGCTGTGGGAGGAGGAGGGCGGGACCGACTCAGGGCTCCCGGGCGCCCTCTGGTGGCGGCTGCGGGGAGGACAGACTTGCAGGGGCAGGAACCGGGGACCCAGCTGGTCCAGGGGGCGACGCCGGGGGGGCCCAGGTGGGCCATCGGGGGACTCTGGGTACTTCTGACCGGGTTGCTGCTGGATCCGACGCGACGTTCCGAGATGCTTTGTTCTGAGCAGGCGGGCGAATGAGGTCGCCCCCTCGGACACGGGGGGATTCGGGAGGAACAGGTCTGGGGGGCCTTCGGAGGCAGCGTGGCCGGGCTGAGCGGGAGCCCGCCGCGTGGGGCCGTCGAGGGGCCGCTGGACCCCGCGTCTGGGGCTCAGGGGAGTCAGGACTGTGGGCGTCGCCGGGTGTAGACGGGGTTCGAGCCCCGAGGGTGGACGGCGCCCGCCCAGGAGGGGTGGGGAGGGAGGAGCCCGAGCCCTGGGCCCGCGAGGGAGATGGGAGGGAAGCTGGACAAGTGCGGGGCCCTGAGGAGTGCCCGGGACCCCCGGGGTCAGACGCTGCCCGGAGGGGGTGGGGACAGACACTGAGATGGACACAGGGCGGTCCCCTCCGCAGGGGCAGTTTGGGAAAGAGGAGGAGAGGGTAGTGACAGAAGTGAGTGAAATAATCCGTGCCAAACGCGGGCTTGATTAATGAATGGAGCAACGTGGGGGGGGGGGGCGATGCTAAATGCTTCGCCCGCATTCTCTCATTTCCCCCTTGCGCCACCCCTATGCGGCTGGTGGTCACGATGCCCTTTTACAGACGAGGCAAATAGAGCTCAGAGAGGTTAGGGCACTCGCCTGAAGTCACACAGCTTGTAAGAGGCAGAGGCGGGATCCGAACTTTCCACGCTGACAGGCTCTGCTCTCTCCCTCCCTCTAGTGGGCACCTGGGGCAACGGCAGGCCAGCTAGGGGTCTGGGTGGGATGTGGTGAGGAGGGTGGGGGGCACCCGGCTAAGGGTCCTGCCGCTGTCCCCCAACCCACCCCGCCAGAGCCCGGCCAGCGAAGGGGAGGAGGAGGAGCTGCTGATGGAGGAAGACGAGGAGGAGGTCCTGGCAGGGGTCTCAGCGGAGGACAAGAGTCGGAGACCCCCGGCGGCGAAGGGCCCCTCGGAGCCTGCGCACTCGGGTGAGAGGCCCGAGCAAGGGGAGGAGGCAGGGCGGGTGGCGAGTGGGCAGAACTCGAGTTGGGGAGGAGGCTGGGGACACCAGTGGCCTTGCTTTTCTTCAGCGCCCCCAAGATGCCCGGCTGACAACCCGCAGCCTGATTTCCCGGCCCCGTCGCCTGATTTCCTAGTCCCGCCGCCTGATTTCTGAGCCCCGCCGCCTGATTTTTAAGGCTGCCTCTGGAGTTTTTGCTTTCCTGGGCTGCCAGGTCTTGCTTTTCCCGGGCTGCATCCGTCCCGGGCTGGGGAGGGACTGACACTGCGCTTTTTCCTGGACCCCCCCCCCCCAACCCCGCAGAGGCCGCGCCCCCCGGGAAGCGGGTGGAAAACAAGACCCGGGTACCCGTTCGCTACTGCATGCTGGGCAGCCGCGACTCCGCCAGGTCAGTTACGCCCCATGTGTCCCCCCCTTGCCCCCCAGCAGGGTTGGGACAAGTGGCCTCTGATTCTCAGAGCTGGCTGTGGGGGGCTGGGGAGCCAGCGTGGGGCGTCCTGAAGCTGTGGGACCCCCTGGCTCCTGCAGAAACCCCCACACCCTGGTGGAAGTGACATCCTTCGCGGCCATCAACAAGTTCCAGCCGTTCAACGTGGCCGTCTCCAGCAACGTGCTGTTCCTGTTGGTGTGTGCGCCGCTCCTACCTTGTCCCTTGGGGGCCAGGGCCTCCCAGGCGCGGGCAGGGGGCTGGGGCGCCCCGGACGGTGGGGGTCCCTGGGCTGCTAGCTCCTTGAGAGCGAGGCCTGTACCTGCTTTGGTCCCCGCTGACACTCACTGTTGGGATGAAGAGGGAGCTGTGCGGGCTGGCGTTTGGGGCCAGGCTGCAGGCTGACCGCGTGGCCTCCGCTGTCCCTCCCCTCCCCAGGACTTCCACAGCCACTTGACTCGCAGCGAGGTCGTGGGGTACCTGGGGGGCCGCTGGGACATCAACAGCCAGAGTGGGTATTTGGGGCCCGGTGGGCAGGGGGCTGTTTGGGGCCGGGGTCGATGTCCACGCCTTGTCCCCGCCTCCGTCCGCGCAGTGCTCACGGTGCTGAGAGCCTTCCCCTGTCGCAGCCGCCTGGGGGACGCGGATACGGCGGCCACCATCGAAGAGGAGGTGAGCGGGCGCGCGGGGACGGGCATTCTGGGGAGGCCTGGCACGGACACAGGTGTCCCGGCCTCCGTGTCCCGGCGGCTGGCACAGTGTCGACACTCGGCAAGTGTGCCAATGAGCGTGTGTGAGCCTGTGACCCCACGGTCGCACCTTCTCTGCGCAAACACGTCCAGCCCCTTCCCTTCTGAGCCTCGGTTTCCCCGCCGGGCCTGGCACCTGGGAAAGGCTCCCTAGATGTTAGCTGCCGTCCTTCCTCATGTTTTCATCGCGGGGCTTAGGTTGCGCCTGGAGCTGCGCTCATGCACCCGCCCCCACCTTCTCGGGCCCCGCCCCCCCCGGTGACCCTTGGGGACAGGTGTGGAACAGGTGTTCATTCCGCGCAGGTGTCTCCGCCCGCCTCTTCCTTTCTCTTTACGAATGCACTTTCCTCTGCTCGCTCCCGGCATCCGGGAATGCTTTTTGCTGCTCCCTTGCGCGCTCATCCGCTTGTCCCCATAGCTAACTACTGAGTGCCTACTGTGTGCTAGGCGTTGTGCCCTGGTAACCTTGTGCCTTTGCGTTATGACAGGTGCATCTTTTTTATGTGTATTTGTTGACTGTCCCCTCACTGGACTTGGTGAGGTTGGGGGCAGCGTCTGTCTTGGTCGCTGCGGTGTCCCCCAGCCTGGTACACAGCAGGCGCTCATGACATGTTGGGCGTGCATAGGGCTGGATGGGTGTCAGGAGCGCCGGCGGCAGGGGGTGGCGTGGGCGCACAGGGCTGGGAGAGCCCCCCGGGCCTGCCCGTGCCAGCCTCGCCTCTGCCCCCAGATCTACCAGAGCCTGCTCCTGCGGGGCCTGTCCCTGGTGGGCTGGTACCACAGCCACCCGCACAGCCCGGCGCTGCCGTCGCTGCAGGACATCGACGCGCAGATGGACTACCAGCTGCGGCTGCAGGGCTCCAGCAACGGCTTCCAGCCCTGCCTCGCCCTGCTCTGCTGTGAGGCCCGGGCCGGGGGCGGGTGTGCGCGTGCGGCCCCCTTGGGCCCCCGAGCTCCTCGGGCCCAGCCCCCTCTCTCACTCTCGTCCCCCAGCCCCGTACTACTCGGGCAACCCGGGCCCGGAGTCCAAGATCTCGCCCTTCTGGGTGATGCCGCCCCCTGAGGTAGGCGGGGCCGGGCGGTGTGGGCGGGGCCCGGCAATGTGGGCGGGGCCGGTGGTGTGGGCGGGGGCGGGACCGGGCGGTGTGGGCGGGGCCGGTAGTGTGGACGGGGGCGGGACCGGGCGGTGTGGGCGGGGCCGGTAGTGTGGACGGGGGCGGGACCGGGCGGTGTGGGCGGGGCCCGGTGGTGTGGGCGGGGCCGGTAGTGTGGACGGAGGCGGGGCTGGGTGGTGTGGGCGGGGCCGGGCCGGGCTTGTTCGCGATCCAGGGCCGACACTGGTTCCGGGCCCATTTCGGGAGCTGGGGCCTCAGGGTCTCCCGTCTGTGAAATGGGCACATGGTCGTTGCCCTGCCTGAGGCTCCGGCGAGGGCCTGGGTGTGAGAGATGTAGACCTGTGGCATGCTGCTCTTGTTGCCAAGATGGCCTCCTCCCCGGACCTCGCCCGGTTTCATTCCCCGAGTCCATCTTGGGGTCACAAATCAGCTTTGGAAAGAAATTCCGGGACCCTGGCTCTCTCTTTGCCTCTCCTGTCCGGGAGATGCCGCCTGCCTGCCCAGTGGCACTGCCAGGTTCCACTAACGTCCCTCGTGGCTCTGAACCTCTGATCCCGGTGTGGAGCCGGGCCTGGAGGGTCCATTCTCCCATTCCCGGCCCAGGGCACTTCCCGCTGTCCCCTGCCGTCATGGGCTGGGGGCTGGGGGTGACCGGCTCGTGTCCCCGCCAGCAAAGGCCTAGTGACTACGGCATCCCCATGGACGTGGAAATGGCCTACGTCCAGGACAGCTTCCTGACTAATGACATCCTCCATGAGATGGTGAGCTCATCCCGGGCGGGGTGGCGGGGGCCCCAGGGAGGGGCGGGTGGGGGCTGAAGGCACCCAGCTGCATGGACCTGACTGGGTCAGACTCAGGAGGCCGTGGCTGTAGCAGCCACATCAGGTCAGGCTCCTCCTCCGCTGCGGAAGACCACCTGTGGCTCTTAGGCTCCGACCCAGCTCCTTGCCGTGGCCCCACCCTTGCCCGCCTGCTCCCCTGCCTGGCCTCGCTGCTGGTTCTGGAACATGCCAGGCACGCTGCCCCAGCCCCGGATTCTCCAAGGGGAGACACGTGGGAAGACACACGGTTTTAAATGCCTGCGGCTCAAGAGAGGCTTAAGAAAACGGAACTTGTTCAGCACCCCTGTGATTTCAGCCCCAGACTTGGGATGAGGCCAGCCCGGGGAGGGATGTCGGGCCTGCGTGGCTATGAAGAATCAGAATATGAACTAAGGGGGGTTCAGTCGCACCCTCCTCCTAAGCTCCCTGTTTCTCCCGGGTGGCACTTGTTGGTGACGGTAACGTCTATGTGCCGCGTTAGGTTGGAGGGCCCGTCAGGGGTGGCAGCGGTGTCCGGCCCGCTCGCTGCTGCATCCCCGGCGCCTGGCATGCGGTGCGCAGGGAGGGCGGGAGCGAGGGGGTCCCATCCTCCCCTCATCGCGCAGATGCTGCTGGTGGAGTTTTACAAGGGCGCCCCCGACCTCGTGAGGTTCCAGGAGCTCTGGACCCAGGAGCACACCTACCTCGACAAGCTCAAGGTGAGACCGCCCCCCGCCCCAAGTCCTGTGCAAACCCCTGCTTTAGGAAGACGGTTCTGGGGGGGCTCCCAAGAACACACCCACCGGCAGCCTGAGGGACTGTGGCTCCCGAACTCGTGCACAAAAGGGTTTCAGCCGGAAATTCACTCTGCCATCAGAAACGCAGATGAGAACGTGAAGGCCCCGGGGACATCCCGGCTGGCCAGGCTGCTCCGGCCCCGTTTCCCCATGGCCGCCGGCGGGGGGCGCACGGAGGGTTGTGAGCGGCTTCGGAAGCAACGCTGAGCAAAACAGAGAGCAGCTGGTGTCGTGGCGGCTTTCTCCAGCTCGTGGGCCCCACGGTCGGGGACATTTACATCAGGCTTGGCGGCCTCTGGAGTGTGTCTGATTTATTTCCTGCTTCAGAGTCATTCTCAGAAGACGCTCGCAACCCTCTTCGTGGACTCACTCAGTTTCACACATTCGCTCGTTTTCAAATTTTTTAAAAACCAGTGGCCGGGGCTTCAGGCTGCCAGCACTGGGGTGGCCGCGGCTGCCTTCGGAGGCCCTGGAGCTGGGTGATCCCGGCCGTGAGACCCGGGCAGGGAGGCAGCTGGGGTGACAGGAGGCGCTGGAATGCAGCAGACAGGACACGTTCCACGTTCCCCGCTGGGCAGCCGGGCCGGGTTATGCAACGCTCCTCGGTGAAAAGCGAGCCTGCCTCTAGGGACGCGGCCGCACCTTGGTTAGAGAGCTCCTGGGCCCAGCTGTAGCACTGAAGGCCTTGAGGGACAGGAATGGTGGGGGGGCCGGGCCGGGACCACTGGGCGCAGCCCTGAGGCGCCAGCCCTGCTTGTTTCAGATGTCCCTGGCCAGCAGGACGCCCAAGGACCAGGGCCTGTGCCACGTGCTGGAGCAGGTCTGCAGCGTCCTCAAGCAAGGGAGCTGAGGGCACCGGCCTCCCACGACCCGGGGGCCAGACTCTGGGCCTCCCGCCCCTTCCTGGCACCCGGCAGCTCTGGGCAAGGGGATCGGGTCTGGGGGCTTCGTGTGGCTCTAAGCTGCCCTCCCGCGTGCCTGCGTGATGGCAGGGGCTCGGACAATAAAGGCAAGAAGCAAACAGCCCAGGCGTGTGTCTCCCCCGGGGGGGCGTCCCAGCCGCTGTCTGGGTGGCGGAACACCCCGGCCACACGGGGTGCAGGAGAGGGTGCTGTTGGTGCAGCCCTGTGTGGGGACATACTGGCACGCTGGTGCAGAGGACAGATGACGGCCCCCTCCCACCCTGGGCTCCCTGAGGGGCGGATGCCCACACTGGGGGCAGCCTGGGGTCAGGCCTGCCCTGACCAGAGACCCTCGGGAGGGCCTGCCCTGTACCACAACCAGGCAAGCGGCTGTAGAAAGAGACATTTAATACTTTTTTAAAAAAATCGGGATTACATTTCAATCCGCCCTAGACTGTGACGGAGGCCACGTTGCTCGTCTCAGCCGGGACATCCATGCTTCCCCACGTAATAGCCACGAGGGGGCCCTGGGGACAAGCACAGCCTGATGTCCTGGGGGCTTTGCTGGGTCCCCCGAGGGGAATGTGAACCAGGCCTGAGGGCCCCGTTTAGCCAATTTTTGGATTAGGCAAGAGGGAAAGCGGGTGTGGGCCGGGCCCTGCTGGTCTGGAGGAGACGGCCAGGGCCGCTGCTGATGGGGGTGGGCACCCAGGTCCCTCCCCCAGCGCGGCCCCAGCAGCCGGGGGTGTGGGGACGTTGGCTCCTCAGAGCCTTTGTGCTTGGCCTTCGCAGAGTGGAGGCTGGGGCCCCGTGGTCCCGTGTGGGGCGTCGGTGTGGGGGCAGCTCGTGCCCGAGAGAAACGCTCCGTGTGCTTGGGGGGGGCACCCTGTGGGCGGGAGCCGGGGGGCGGTGGCTCTGGTGTGGGGTTGAGGGAAGGGGTGAGGCCTCCCAGAGGCGGCCTGGGAGGGGGTGTGGTGGGGAATGAGAGACAGGGTGCCCGCCCCAGGCAGACATCCGATCCCGGGCGGGCCGGGAAGAGAGGACGGCGGATGGGTGAGGGAAGGGCCCAGCCAAGTGCCCAGGCCCTGGAGGGGCGGGGGGAGGTTAGTGTTTCTGAGAGCACCGTAGTGTCAGCCCCTCCCGGGGCGGCTGGCGGGGTAGCGGGAGGACGAACGCTGCCCAGCCGGCCCCCACCCCTATGGGAGGGCGCTAGTGTAAACAGGGTGCCCGCCTCCCGGCGGCCCTCCGGCCCTGCTACCCCGTGGCCAGCCGGGCGCCCCTCGGGGCGAGAGGAAGGCAGACGGCGGGGCAGCGCGTCACTGCGGCAGGGGCACCAGCACCTCCACGTAGCTGAGCGGGAAGAAGCCCGACTGGCCATGCAGCAGCCCCTCGTACCAGTTCTCGTCGATCTGGTTGGTCAGCGTGATGATGTCGCCCTCGCGGAAGCCCAGCTCCCCGTCGTTCTCGGGCTCAAAGTCGTACAGGGCCTTACAGCTCGGCTGGTCCAGGGGCGCTGGGGGTGGGCGGAGGGTCCGGGCTTCCACCTGCCCTGCGGCTGGCGGGGCGCTGGCCGCCCCCCAACCCTGCTCCCCGCTCCCTCCAAGGAGAGCTGCTCCTTCCGCCATGCTCCCTAGGGTTGTCAGCAAGAGGAGGCAGGTGACAAGAGGGATGTGGTCACCCAAACGCTCCTAGGAGGAGCTGGGGATGCCCCGGGGCAGCAGGATGACAGAATGACCAGAAGCCCACAGCCCTCGGGGGGCCACTCAGAGCCTAGAGCCGGCTGGGCGCCCCTGGTTCAGGGAGGCCGAGGCCCAGGCTCAGAGAGGCGCTGCCCCCTGGACAGCCCAGCACAGCGAGGGTTCACTGTGACCAGAAAAGGGGAGAAGGAAGACCCTTCTGGAACAGACTAGAAGGGGGGATTACAGACTGAGGCCAGGAGCGGGCAGGGGACACTGAGGGGACACTCACGCATGCTCCTGCTGGGGGTCCGGATGGGCTTGTCGGAAGATCGGAACGACGATGAGCCTGCTCGCAGAGAAAGCAGAGGTGGGCAGGGGGCTCAGGGCTGGGGATGCGAGGCCGGGGACTCGGGACAGGGGGCCGTGGGGCCCCTCTCGCAGAGGGTGCGGCTCCCAGGCCCGGGACAGTCAGCCCGCCCGCCGGCCCGTACCTGTGACCTTGGGGGCCGTGGCGCAGGGGAAGCCGCCGTTGGGCTGCTCCGGCTCCCCGAGCTCGAAGGCCTCCCGCGGCTTGGGCTTGTACTCCCGCCTGGGGCGCGAGGAGCCTTCTCGCATCCTGCACGAGGAAGGGACAACCCTGAGCATCCTGACCCTCACGAGTCAAGGTCGGGGAATGCCCCCCACCCCCCCAGCTGTTTATGCTGCTGCCCCAGGACTCGGGGGGCCCATTGGAGGAGGGCCTGGGGGGGTCCCGGGGAAGCATGGAGGCCCGACAGCTCCACCCTGGCCAGCCTCCCAACCCAGCGCTTCTCAGAGGCTGCCGACCAGAGCCCTGCAGCCCCCTCGGTGGCACGACCACCCCCCCCACTGGGCCCCCGCCACCTGAGGCTTCCCCTCCCAGGCCCTGGGCGCCGACTGCTTGCCAGGCGGCTCAGGGAGAGGAGCCCCGGGTGTCCCTGCGGGAGATGGGCAGTGAAAGGAGGGGACCGCAGGGTCAGCCCTGGGTAGCCCCCAACTCAGGCTCGGTGGCAGCTCTGAAACGCCTTGTCTGTCCCACCTCTGGTCCCTTAGGCCCCCAACCCTCTCCCTTGGGTACCAGGACGAGCGCCCTGAGGCCCTGCTCCGTCCCGGGACCCCGCCCCCAGGGCCTGTGAGCAGCAGCCAGCGCATGGCTCTGGAAGGTGGGGCCCCGAGGAGCAGGCCCAGGAGTGCAGGGGGGTGACCAGGCTTCGGGGCAGCCTGGCGCCCAGGCCTTTCTGAGCCGGCAGAGAGCGGGATGGGGCTCCCATGGGGAGGGCCAGGGGGCCGGGCTCACCTTCGCTTGAGCTTGTCGGCCAGCTCGTCCAGGATCTGCACGGCCTGCCGGTGGTAGTCCAGCTGGGCGTCCACCAGCGCAGAGAGCTGGCTCACCTGCTCGATCTGCAAGGCACCAGCCAGGGCTGAGAGGGCTGCCCTCGCTCTGACCCTCATTTCGGGGCCGCCTCCTGCAGGGAGCCTTCCGGGACTGCTCTAGCCCCAAGGGCCGGCCCCTCCCGTGCAGCGGACCCTCGAGCTGCCGCTGGAGGAGTTCAGGCGAAGGGCCTCAGCGGCTGCCACCCGCTCTGCTCCTGCAGGTCCCCCTCTATGGCCTTCACTCCCTGAGCAGGCCCTGAGCCCGCCACGCTCCGGCCCCCTCGTGCACCGGCTCCCGGGGCGCGGGCACGTACGTCGGTCTCCAGGAGGTTGTGCATGCTGGTCTCGGCCACCTCCTTGGACTCCTCGAACTTCTCCATGGCCTGGCGCAGCTCCTCGTCGGGGATCCTGCCCTGCCGCTTCTTCTTGTAGTCGAAGTCCAGGCGGCGGCCCTCCAGCTTCTTCAGATGGTGCTGGGGGACAGGCGGGGCGAGGGTCACACCGCAGCGCCCGGGACCTCGGGGAGGCCGTGCCAATGCCCTGCAGCCCCTCCCGCGGGAAGCCCGGCCCAGGCTCGGCTGTGAGTGCGCAGAGGGGGCTGAGGGGTCCAGCAGGAGGGGGCGCGCCGTCTGAGCGAGGGGGCCCAGGGCTGCTCTGGGCTGGGCGCGAGGGTCAGGCCCCTGCCCGTCCTGCAAGGGGTCTGAAGCACGGCCCACGCACCTGGATCTCCTTCAGGTCCTTGTCGCACAGGTTCTGCAGGGGGTCAATGAAGTTCTGCTTGACCTCTATGTCCAGGGAGTCCTTCACCTCCGCCAGGCGCTTCATGGACTCGCCCGCGTCCAGCAGGGCGTCGCCTGCGCGAGAGGACGGGGTGGGAAGGAGGCCGTCACACGAGGCCGGGGCTGAGGGGGCCAGACACCCCCAACTGCTAAACGGCCCCCACACCCCGTGCCCAGGGACCTGGAGGCCAGAATTCAGAACAAAACAAGGGCCCCGAAGTCTGAATCTGAGCCCCACGGGCAGGAGCTGGCGAGGATGGGGTCAAACCAGCCGCTCCCTGCCACGCTCGGAGAAGGGGCCCCTACGCCCCGACCCGCAGGGGTGAGGACAGCCTTCCGGGGACTCGGTGCCGCTCGGATCCTCCCTCACCCGGGCCACTAGCCGGCCCTGGGGAAACTTCTGCAGCGGCAGGAGGGCAGCGCCGTCCTGCCCGCCTGTGCTGGAACGCCCCGGCCCGCCCGCCGCCACCCTGGCCGGCCTCCCGCGGCCTCACCGAAGTTGGACTCGCCGCCCAGCTCCTTCCCGTGGCGGATCATGCACTCGCCCAGCAGCCCCTCCGACTGTGGGTAGCCGGGGTTCTTGACCTGCCCGCGGATCTTGGACACTGTGTTGAGCATTGTCAGCTTGGCCCGCGAGGCTGGAACAGGACAGGCCGGGTGGGTGCGTGGTGGCCTCTTGGGGAGCCGCCAGGCCTGTGTGGGGCCAGTGCTGCCAGCTGCCCCCTCTGCCCCGGGCACCCCCTTTCTCCTGACACTCATTTACTTCTAAAGCACTCCCCAGGATAAGGAACCTTGCTCGGGTCTGGTGCCCACTGATGGCCATGCTACAAGGAGACCCTCCCGAGCAGACTTACCCTCTGCTCTCAGGGGCCACGAAGGAGCCCAGGCAGTGGGCAGGAGAAGTGACCGGCTCCCCAGGATCCCCAGGGCCTCCTCGTCTGGGGCAGGGCTCTGACCGGGACCCTCCCCTCCCTGGCCTGGGAGGAGCGCCTCAGAGAAGCAGTGGCGGGCAGGGACAGGCACCCCAGCATGAGCTCTGCCCTGGCACAGGCCTCGAGTGGACACAGCTGGTTCTGCTGCCTGTCCTGCAGCCACTGCCTCCCGCTATGGGAACCAGCATTTGGATGTTCCCCAGGGAGAGGTCCTGGCTCCCTCTCAGCCGAGGAGACCCCACCTCACGCTCCAAAGGTGGGTGAGTGGCCAGGGCCTGGCCACCCGAGGATGGACACCCAGTTTAAAGTGGCCCAATGGGTCAGGTGGGGGAAAGATGCTCTTTCTCACTGGGATTATTAGCTGTAAGGGTGATTTGAGGCTAAGATTGCCACGAGAACCAGAAGCAGCCAGATGAAGCAGAAAGGAAACGCACGACCCTGAGGACAGCCTTTGGACCCCTGGATCCAGCTATGCCTGAAACCCACCTACCCCTGGACATTTCAGTTCTGTGAGCCCATACATTCCCTCTTCATGCTCTGGTAACCAGAAGATTCCTGACTGGCACAGCAATCTGAGAGGTTAGGGGCAGACCCCTCACAGCTGGCTGCACCCCTACCTGGGTTGGGCTGCAGGTACTCAATGGTTCTGGCCAGCACTTCCGCCACAGCTTTGCTGGTGACATCCACTTTCTGTAAAAGAGGCAGCGTGTGGGGTTTCCAAACCCTGGGGTGCCCACGGCCAAACCAGAGCCAGGCATGGGGGCTTGGGACGCAGTGCCAGGCGACAGGCGGGACACCACCTCTCCCATTACCTTCTCCATCTCTTTGAAGTCATCGTCAAGCTTGGTCCCTTCAGCCCCTCCGACCTTCTCACTGACCAGCTGGGGGACAGAAGGAGGGAGAGTGTGAGGCTCAGAGGAGAGACGGCCCCGCACATCCCGTTGGCTCCAGGACGCTGACCGGGGCAGCCAGCGGCCCGACGGCTGGCCGAGTGAGGACCCGGCTCCAGACCCACACACTCCTGCAAACCCAGGACAGGGTGCCGTGCACACCTCAGGGACCTGCTGGGCCAGCCGCGCCCAGATGGAGGCACCACGGTCCAGTGCCGGGCGTGGTGCTAAGGTGCCCTGAAGCCCCTTCCCCACTGACTTCCTGCCTCTCCAGACGGGATCTCAGGGACCCCGGGCCTTCACTCCCCCAAAACACATCCTCCAGGGCGCCTCTGAGAGGCGAGGCGGCCCTGCAGCGGCATGAACAGGGACCTGGCCCGTGCCACCTGGAGTCGCTCCTCAGCCCTTGTGGCGCCGGCACACGCATTGGAGCAGCCGTCTGCACACTCAATTTCTCACGTTCAGTCACATGGACACGCGTGCGCCCCAGCGCAGCAGGTGGCATGTGTAATTTCTTGTGCACAACCACAGGCACACGCTCCATTTCCCAAGGGCAAGCGGCCGCCTCTGCCCACCCGCCAGGACACCTCCTGGGTTCCGAGTGGCTGCCAGCCTGCAGGAGTAGTCAGACCACCACATTCTCCCCGTGCGGTCTTGGGCCGTCGGCTTCCCTGGGCCTGAGTTTACCCGTCTGTATGATGGGGTGGCAGGCGTGGACTCACAGGGCTGCTGAGTGTGAGTGCGTGCTCAGGGGTGTGCCTGGCACACAGTAATCACTGGCTACCCACGCCTCCGACCACTGTCCCTTTCTCCGAGCATCCTAAACCTCCACGGGGACTGCACAGACTCCAGGATTGGCCTCGCCTGCCTGCCTCTATTCTCTGTCCCCAGCAGGGGTCAAGAGGGGACGGGGGCGCAAGCCCCTGAAAATCAGTGGTTCTCAACTTGGCTGCACCCGGGGCATCAAGGAGGGGACTGGGGCACAGGTGAGAAGCCCGCCGCAGTGGGGGGACAGGAAGGAAGCAGCGCTGGTGCGAGGCGCGGTGACTGTCACCACCCAGAGCTGCTTGGGCTGCAGCTGGCCCGGCGCCATCCTCTGGGGCCCTGGCGGGAGAGGCAGGGGCTGCCCTCCGGTTCTGCCAGTGACTCGGGAGGCAAGCCCCGGTCTCTCCCGAGGTGGCTTTGGGCGTTTCACTTTATTTCACGGGACGGTTTCACTTCTTTTGATTCTGGCAAAACAGGACGTTCTCAAATTCGGCGGTCGCCAGAGAGCGAAATGAGTGAGCTACCTGACTCGAGCGGGGACTTCCGGGGAACTGGGACGGGAACCGAAGTGCCGATGCTCAAAACCACACCTTCCGGGCCGAGGCCCTGGGCTGGATGGCCTGTTCCGGGCACGAGGACACGGCACCCGGCGAGAGGGAGCAGCGCCCGGGGAGGAGGCCCTGCTGGCGGGGCCCACGGCCGCTCCTTCCTCTGAGGAAGGGGGCACGGGCGGACCCTGCAGCCTCTCCCAGGCCCCGTGGGAAGCTGGGACTCAGTCTTCCTGAGCCCTCTGGATGGCTCCTCGGGCCCCCACACGAGGCCCGATGTCCCTGGCCATCCTTGTTTCTTGGCACTGAGAGGCTGCACTGGAAACACCCGGGTCCCCACCAGTCCCCCTGTTCCACTCCCGCCTGGGAGCTCTGAGCTCAAGTCCCCCATGTCCCTTCTCTCCAAGGCTCACAGGCTTGCAACTGGCACAAGTGCAAGAAAGGGCGACGAGGCCAAAAGGAAAAAGTGGGGCAAAGAAGCCGCCCGTCAGCCGCAGTAACAGAAGGGCCGTGGCACTGAACTCAGGGTCCCCAGGGGGTGTGGACACTGCTCCAGCCGAGGGGACCCCAGTGGCCCACGAGTAGCCCGTCCAGTGGGGAGGCCACAACCCTGACCTGCCGTCCTGCTCAGGGAAGCTGCACACGTGTTTGTGGGCCCGACAAGAGCGGCATATGCCTCCATGGAAATAGTACCTCCACGCGTCAAGTCTGCACCCCAAGTTAACAGAGCCCGCCTCCCACACTCCCTTAACCGGTGCTCACTACAACCTCATTGTTCTCACGCTGCATGAGGGGAAACTGAGGCACAGCGCCCTCCGGGGCCCAGCCGACTGAGGACTGAAGCCCGCTTTTCCCCTCAGCATCTAAAGGGCAGCCAGGGCCCCACATGGGCTCACGGTGTGGCCACAGCCCCCAAGGGCCAGCAGGGCGGTGGGTGACCACCAGCCACTCTCCCGCAGGGCCACGACCGTGATGGCGGGCCTCTGGAGAGCACAGCTTCCTGGGCTCCCCTGGCTGGGCGGGAGCCTGAGTCACGGGCAGCAGGCCCGATGGTGGCTGTCATGCGGCCCCGCTGGGTGAGACCTGGCTGGGGAGTCCCTGCGGGAGACTCAGTGGGACCCAGCAGCGGCCTCTGGAGATGACGCGCTGTTGCCCACGGGATGCTCCTCTGGTCTTTGTGAGACCGGCTCCCGACCTCTCAGATGCCAGCCCTGGCTCTCGCTCCCCTGTGCCCACAGGCCCAGCGCTGCCCGTACCCCTCACTGTGCCTTCCTGCTGGCAGTGTCACTTCTTCCCGTTTGTCCAGCACCGAGGTGTAAGCCCAGGAGGAGAGGCCGCGCCTGGCTGCTGGCTGTACTCCTCCCGCGCTGGCACAGCATGGGCCTCGGGCAAGCGCTCAGTGACCGTGCGCCCCACGAAGGGCCTAGCGTGGGCCCCTCCTGGGGAAGGCCGGGCAGCTACATGTTAAGGAACGTCCCAGCGGGGGTCCTGAGACAGGCCATGGGTGAGGGCCCCGGCCCAGGCCCCCAGGTGACACAGCTGAGCACTCGCCTGCCTGTGTCTGACTGTCTGTCTGTTGTAACGGCTGTATGGAGGTATCACTGGCCTTTCACACGCCCCACGTGCTGTGAGTGGACACCCGGACGCGTTTTGGCGACCGCACCTGGACCCAGCTTCAGAGCCCCTGCAGCCCCGTGGCCTGCTGTGCCGGCTCGCTCTGGTGGTACTCTCCCGGCACCCGCACAGACGGACTCACACCTGTGTCTGGCCTGACTGCTACTTCCTCTGTATTATCTTCAACCTTTGGGAGAGCGTGCCCTGCCCCGACCCCAGGCTGCAGGTGCCTCCAGGGCGGATGGGGCCCAGGTCCCTGGGGCCCCAAGGCCAAACTGCAGCTCAGACCACAGAGATGGTTCTCACCAGCGAGAGGGTCCGAGAGGCCCCAGTCCCGGTCACTTCCCTCATACCTGACCCCCGCGCCCTATCCCACTGGGATGCTGAACGGCCATATTTACGATGACACGCCCGCAAGCGACTGCGGGGTCCAGGCGGGGGCCTGTTCGGGCTCCCGCATTTATTAGCGGTGGAGCCGTGTGGCCTGATGATGCCACTGTGACCGGGCGCCTGGGAAGGGAGCGAGCCTGGAACGGAGAGGGGTCTCCATGCCAGAGCTCCTCCACAACTTCAGCCGCACGTGTGGGCCGCGGGTGCTGCCGGCGAAGACCCACCGGGGAAGGGGCTGTCCTTCCAAAGACGCGCTCTGCAGCCTTCGCGACCTCCGGCTGTCCGTGGAGAGGAGCATGGAACGCGCTATGCGGGAGAGAGCGCGTCGTGGGACAGTCCACGAAAGGAGCCGAGGGGACGCTGTGCGCCCAGAGCCGGCCAAGCAGCAGCGAGGGCGGGAGCAGCGCTCGTTCTGGGGGTGCTGGGCAGGCATCTCTGTGGCGGCCGCGGGGCAGCGGAGCAGCACGAGGCCCCGAGCCGGGCGGCATCCACAGCACCCCTGGTAATTGAGTCGTCCCAGCAGGGAAACCTGATCGATCCACCAGAAAGTCAATGGGCGATCTGTGGCTCGCTGACGGGCACACAGTTCGCTTTGATGAATGGAGACATTAAGGAGCAGGGGGAGGAGCAGGGGGAGGAGCAGGGGAGGGAGGGAGGGAGGAGGAGGGGGAGGAGCAGGGGGAGGGGGGAGGAGCAGGGGAGGAGCAGGGGGAGGGAGGGAGGAGCAGGGGGAGGAGCAGGGGGAGGGAGGGAGGAGGAGGGGGAGGAGCAGGGGGAGGGAGGGAGGAGCAGGGGGAGGAGAAGGGCTGCTCGGGGCCTTGCTGGCCGGGATGGGTGCTCCGTGTGCTCCTGCTCCAGCCCCGTCCAGCCATCACGCTTGGGCGGCCACCACAGCGCTGCAGGAGCACCTCCCAGGCTACCAGCGGAGGCCTCCCCTCCCAGGCCGGTGAGGGTCTGGGGGCAGGCCTCCCTTCTCCCTGGCTGTCTGTTAGTCCCAGGATGGCAGGTCCCATGCCCCCACAGAGCAGCCCCTCCCTCCTCAGCGGTGAGGGCTGAGCCCAGGGCCAGGCAGAGGAGAGAAGCCGCCCGAGGGCACCGGCCAGAGAGCTGGAGAGATTGGCATGGAAAAGGGCGATGGATGACGGCCAAGGGTCCAAGCCCTGCCGTGACCGTGTGGCCCTGGACAGGCCGTGCTTGGGGTCTGGCCGGGGAACGGCCCTCCCGGCTGAGGCGCTGTGACCCGAGACTCTGCTGTGAGCACCTGTGGCTCCCCTTGGCGACGTCAGGAGGGCTCCACAGGCCAGCGCTGGCTGACGCATGTTATGTGATGAGCCGGGTCTGAAGCAGGAGGGGTGTGGAAGGGGCGTGAGCCTGCCCTCTGGGAGGGAGCCACCCAGAGAGGAACGTGACGGCAGTGCGAACTCCCCGAAATGGCAGCGGTTATGGCTCCCGGCGGGCGAGCCGCAGAGCCCAGCTGTCTGAGCTGGACCTCGAAGGAAGGGCCAGGTCCCCAAAGACGGAGCCAGGCCAGACGCAGAGGCTGTTCTGGGGGAGGCGCAGGTTTGGGGCACAAGGGCCGCTGTTCCTGGCCCACCGCGTACCAGGTACCACACCGGTGTCACGTTATGGAGGTGTCATGTCGCTGACTGTCACATGCTCCCAACAAGGCGAAGA